CATTTAAAATCTATAAGATATTTTGAGATTAGACAAAAAAGACATTCTTAAAATTTTATCTAGATTACTCACAACAATTTTGTACTATATATTCTGAATCACCCGTATTTGAAATAAAAATTTGGCTTTAAAGAAAAGTTTCTTACAAAATGTTGCTATAATTTAAAAAAAATTGTGAAGAAAAAAATAAAATTTACTCCAAGGCAAATGAAAGATACGTAGTTTTATTTTTCTCGAAGCTCTCGAGTTTCGCCACATCGTTTTGCTAAGCTGTTGATAGATAGATCTTGCTTTTCTTAATTCATTGTCTTTTGTGTCAATTTTGTCGGGCATATTGTTTAAAAGTTCGGCCAATGATTTCAGAGTTTTAAATTGCGACGACTTGATATATTTTGAAATTTGTCGATACTGCATATCGGAAATTCGATCCAATGTGACTTGAGAAAACATTGCTGAAAATAATAAATGTGATTGATAATTAATAACTATTGGTAATAATTATACATAAATGTAAAAAAAGAATTTATAAAAATTTTATTGTGAAATTTATTATGAAAGGAATAAATATTTTTTTTAACTACCGAAAGCTTGCACTTAATAATGGATGAGATCTGTCGTCATATGTATGCGTAAAACCCGCAATGAACTGCTCCGCGAAGCAGGGTGCGCGGGTTTTGCTATTATTGATGTATTATTTTTATTTTATTTTGTAAATTTTTAATAATTTGAAAAATATAAAACAGTTAATAAAAATTCATTCACGCTTCATGGACTCGATTCCGCAAGAAAGTTCAATATCGTGCATGAGTAAAGTCTTGTCTCACTGCTTTAAATCCACATAGTGTCGTATTCGCGCTGCTTAGCCGATTGTAGGTTATATCACAAAACAATACTCTTTCAATCACAACTCCATGTCACGATAAGATACAACTTTTTGACACATTTGAACATTTTTGTTCTTTTCTTGCATTGTGCTTTGAATTTATTTAACACTTCCTGATAATAACATTCCTCAAAATGAATAATGGACGAAGTTCTGCAAACTCTTTTGAACTATGGGCAAAGTAAAAATATAATTTTTACACAACAAAACTCTAAAAAAAATTTTAAAAATATAAATTATAGACAAACTATGGTGATCTCTCTTGAACTATGGGCTAAATATAAATCAAATTTTTTAGGGATTAAATTGCTTGTTTTTCTTTAAAATTTTTATAAAAATTGCCGAAACACTGTCAACAATGTCTATAAAAAAGGAAATTAATTTAATTTTGATACGCAATAAATTTTTTTATTTACGTTTCATTTACTGACTAATTCTTTGAAAAATGTTTGTTTTTAATTTACATATAATTTAAAAATGAAAAGAAAAATTACCGAAAATTTGGTTAGTTTATGTATGAAATATTTTATTTCTATCAAATATTAAATAATAAAAATCTTTACAAACTTAAATTATCGACCTTTTTATTCCATTGCTAAAACTACAGTTGTTTTTAAAAATCTAATTTTTGGTTATGATTGTTTTGCATTCTAAATAAGCATTTTCTTTAAGTTTGAAAATATTTTATTTTTACAAAATTAAGAAAAATAAAAACAATTATAAAACTACTGAATTTATTTTCCAAATATAAAAATAACACTTATGTTATTGTTTACATTTTTTTAACCTATACATGTTGCTTAAAAGTGTAACTTACCTGCAATTGATTGCATAATCCTTTTTCCAACCACTTCAACATTTAATTGACGAACACATTTAATCATTTTAATACTCGGAATTATTTCGAAAACATTCAATAATTTACAAAAGCCGTTAACGAAAAAACCAATCGATCAAAACAAACTTTTCTAGTGATGACCATTGATGATCCCTTTTCATTTGACAGCTACAGCGACATAGAGTACGAAAATACAAGACAAACCGCAAATATTCATTTTCCAGCAGCAACTTCAAGTGGAAGGCATTTGTACGTTCTACTGTACTTTAAATTTCGAATTTTGTATATTTGGACAAAGAATTTAATAATCTTTAATACCCTGCTAAAAATAAAACCAGAAAAAGTGACAAAACGTCAGAATCTGTGACGTTTTGTGACTACCCTACTGAAAATCCCTGTATAAGATCTTGTACAATTTCATGTATAAGTACTTGTACATGAACACGTCCATGTTCTTGCACATGTATAGTTGTAAATTTTTTTTTTTTATAAAATTTGAGATTTTGATAATTTTTAACCACTAAGATTCGTAACTCATGCATGCTAAAAACTATTGCGCAGCTGTAAAGGTTAAAGTAAACTATTGCGCAGCCTTTGAAGTTTTTAATTTTTAGTAAAGAAAAACATGAATTAACATGTGCAAGAACATGGACGTGTTCATGTACAAGTACTTATACATGAAATTGTACAAGATCATGTACAATTTCTTGTACAAGTATCTTTCTTGTACAAGTATCTTTCTTGTACAAGATCTCACACATGAACTTGTTCCAAATTCGTATGCATTTTCCTGTACAGGAACTGGTCAGAACTTGTACAAGTTCAGTTGCTGATCCTGTACAGGAAATTGTACAAGATCTTGTACAGGGATTTTCAGTAGGGTCCTTACTTGGGAGTTTTTTTTAAGTGAGTTCCCTCGCCTCTCACAATATTAATTATAATATTTTACAAATATACATCGAAAGTAATACTGAATAAAAAGTGAACAGTTTTATTATTTGCAGCTAAACACTTATGATTTTAACCTCCTTTTTCGGGAGCTTTTTTGTGAGAGGCGAGGAAACTCACTCTAAAAATTTTCCGAGTAAGGAGTTTAAAATCGTACTGCAACCTCCAAGTGATAAACTCTGTAAACTATTTTTTAGGGTAACTGCCGACGTCTCTATTGACTACACAAGCCTGCAAAAAAGTAAAATTTCTGTTGTCAGAAATTGAGAAGTCATTTCTCGTAATTATTGTTGTGCTGAATACGAATCTGGCAACGAAAACCTCCCATTATGTCAGGATTTTGAAAAAATGGGGGTAAATGTCCCAAATATCACGCTTTCGTCAGTTTTTGAACATTTCTACCGGGTAAACCCGACGCGTTAGACACTTGTTGTAGGAGTCAAATCAAAGCTTGAACCCTGTACTTTACGACGATATAGCGGTATTGACAACAACAAAATAAATTAACTGGCAAAAATTGTTTTTTAAAGTTTGTAATCATGAAAATTGACCCTCACTGTTTGTAAATAAATATAACTATTTGAAGAAATACTTGGAATCGTTTGGAATTTGTCACTCGGGGGTTTTTGGGGTCATGGATTACGGATATGATGTCAGATTTTCAAAATGGCGGATCCAATATGTCGGATTGAATCGATTTTTAAAAAACTCGTGCTTTTTTCCTAAGAGGATACATACTGGTACAATACTGGTATGCTGTATAAAGTAAAAATTCTATATCCCCTCCCTCTCGCCTTCTACAATGGTATTTTAATTATTTTAATTTATTATTAAAAGGAAAATCTTTGGGAGGACTTAAATAATAATAATTCATTTTTATTTATTCATTTTTATTTATTTATTTTTATTGCACCGTTTTCAGTGACGCGTTCATATTTGACAACTGTTAAGGAAGTGAGGTTAGGTTGGGATTACCAGCAAAGAGTCACAGTACTACGTACCAGTATTATACTTGTATCGTGCAAGTATGTTGTGCTTCCTATTTCAGAAGTACGACGTACTGGTATAGTACTAGTACTATATTTTAATCGAGTACTCACATTTTATAATTCTAACAGTTCGACATACTTTTATTATACTAGTACCGTACTGATACGTACATACATAATTATTTTGTACTGGTATGAAACTAGTATAATACCAATACTCCGTACTCGTAAATAACGATTAGTACGCTTGGCTATCTGGGTAGGGATATATATAAAAGCATACATTGTACTGGAGAAGGGTACGCTCCATGTGCGCGTGACTTTTACATTGTACTCCGTTTTTCGATATGTTACCGAAGTTTTTAAGCAAACCCAGCGAGAAATGAAAGGTCTAATCGACGTTTATTTAACGTCTAGACCAAGTTCTACATAAGGTCTAAATCAAGATCTACTTAGACGTCTAACTCGTAGAGAAAATTGAATTCTATCGAAAATTCTTTTTAGGATTCCTAAAAAGTTACCTATATAGGGAACTCTATAAGACGTCTATAATCCTGATTTCAGTATATCTGATACTGTGAGCGGTAATGTAAGTGTGCATCGTATTTCGGTTTTTTTCTTAAATGCTTGAAAAAAGTTTTAAAAGATTTAAAATAATTGTGTTTGAACAAGAGGTCGGTTTTCTATGTTTAAGGTTCTGTTTTAACAATTTTCTACTTCTTAAAATACATTTAAATTAACGTCTATTTTTAATTAATCTAGATCAAATTGAGACCTAGACCTGTTCTCAACGTCTTAGACGTCGGACAGACGTCGATTAAACCTTTCATTTCTCTCTGGGAAATAATAGCAGCATGATATGCAGTTTTTAGAAAATCAATTTTTTTGAATAAAGATGTGGTACTAACCACTTAAAAAAAAGTAAAAAAAATTTTGATTTTTAAAAAAGAGTCAAATTTTCATTTTTTTGAAAAAAATTTTGCACCATTCGAAAGAGCAGGAAAAACCTTTCGAAAACATATAGGTCAAATTTTTTTTCATCTTTCAGTTTAAAAGTTATGTCTTCAAAAATTCACTGTTTAAATTTTTCAAAAAAATTCAACCCCTTCCCCCTCCTACAGTTCTTGAAAAAACCTAACAATACTTTGTGGTTAAAGTACTGACCCCCAGAGCTAAACTATGTGCAAGTTACAGCCCGATCCGATCAACTTTTTTTTTTACTTATAGTACGTACAGGAATTTTACCCCATATATATTTATATATATCACGACATTTTTGAGTTTTAAAATGATTTTTAAAACTTGTAGTAATGAAGAGAGTTAAAATACAATAAGTACGTACCCAATTTTGGCAATTTCATAAAATGGACTGTCCTTTCTAACAAAAAAGGAAAAATCTTCAGGTGGCATTAGATGTACTTCTGTTAAGTCACAAATTTCTTTATTGTCAAATAATTTTTCGATTCGCGGATATCCATTTTCTGTATCAGTATGATATGCCAAATTTCCTTGTAAAACTTTTTTGATTCCTTCATCAGGATATAAATATTTTTCATTTTCTGGTGTATTCAACCATTTCATTTTGTGAAACATTTGGTTTTCCCACTCTTTTTTCTACAATAAAATCGTTATATTTCAAGTAGGTACTTAAATAATATAAAAAACACACTAACATTTTCTGTGCCTTATCGACAGATATATGGCTTGAAATTTCTGAAGTGAGACATTAATTTTTTTATAACGAGATTTTCATGTCATATCAATTATTTTTTGGTTTTTGCGTATCAAAATGTTAGAATTTCTCAAGTAGGCCTAAAATTTGCAAAGATTGAAATTTATCAATGTAAATGTGCAAAAAGATAGTTCTACTATAGTTAAAAATAACCTGTAAATTTAATTGGAAAATAATCAATAAATTGTTTATTTCTTATAAACAATTGAAATTTTGTGCATACAATTTTTCAAAATTGAAAAACTTCGACAGAAGTTGCCGAAACCTGATAATTCTTTTTGCACATTAATCATGAAATTCCAAACTTTAAATATGAATTTTTCGTTTTCGAAAGTTTTTTTTTGTTATTAAAAATAATTGTTTACTATAATAAAATTAAAAAATAAACGTGTTCTGGATATGATTATATTCAGTTTTATAAACAAAAACCTGAAAAAGTATTCATTAAGGCTATTTAAGTGCCCTATTCGCAATTTAAATGCTCCCGTAGGGTTCGACAAAACACATGTTCTGCTAAATCTAAAAAAAGTTAGCAGACCATCACATCTAAAATACACTTTAAAAAATAATGGAAAATTTCCCATACAAATGTAAGGATTTTTTTCAATACTTTGTATGGAAATATTCTTTTCCATACACAAGTATGGAAAAATTTCAAGACAGTATGGAATATTTTCTATTTTATGGTACACGGAAAGAAAAGGAATGGTTGGGCCAACCATAGGTATTGATAAATACGTCCCATCAATATTATATGGTTACCACAACCATATCTTTAGTTGATACAACCATAGTATGGTTGGCCTAACCAAAGGTTAGGTTGTCACATCAAAATGACGAAAAATTGCAAATTTGATGTGACAACCTAACCTTTGGTTAGGCCAACCATACTATGGTTGTATTAACTAAAGATATGGTTGTGGTAACCATATAATATTGATGGGACGTATTTATCAATACCTATGGTTGGCCCAACCATTCCTTTTTCTCCGTGTAAAATTCCAATACGTATAAAATGCATGTATGGAAAAATGCTTTTCCATACACGCATGTATAGAAATATTACACGACAATATGGAATATTTTCAATCATGTGTGGAAAAATTGCAAATTACACTGTGTGGTAAACATTTTATTATATGTATAATATATTTCATTAAATTATAAAATTTTTTTCATTAACTAATAATAATAAGAGTATTTTAGTTTTTGTGTCTTCGTTTTCATCAAAAGTATACATAATGTTGTAAAAAAGTAAGGTAAGTTTTAATGCATTTATAATAGTTTAAAAATTTTAGTTTATTAGTTGTAAACATTGTAGTTGTATAAATAAAAAAATATTTTTATTTAAGAAATATTGTTTGCAACATTTTTATTTACTGTGTACCTTATTAAAAATAAGTTTTTAAAAGTTCAACCAATTTTATAAAACTATGATAACAACTTCTTTTATTTAACAAAAAGTTAAATACAGTTGTTTTTATTATTACTATAAATAATAGTTTTTTAAAAGATTTATGTTATATACCCTGAAATATTTTTACTCTAAAGTAACTATAGAATTTTTTTATTTTTTATAGTACATACATATTTTCTTATTTAAAAAAGTTTGTCACATCTGGTTTGTCTTAGTCTGGACGGCTAAGGGTTTCTTATTTCAAGAGAGATAATTTTATGAGTTTTCCGTACCCGTTTTTTTCATAGTTTTTTGTAGGCAGAAAGTTTGTGAGATTTTTCAAATAGAAATATAGCAAATTTTGGAATACTTTAAATACTCCATACGAAATTCCCGAAAAAATCCCTTTTTACCGTCAGTTTCTCTCAACCATTAGCCTGGGAAACATACTATAAGTAAATAAAAACGGTGGTGTTAAAAGTCTTTTAAAATTGTGTTCTTTCTGTGATTTTGGATTTGTAAATTGTGGATTATTCAAGGATACCATTTACGTTACTTATTTGTGGTATGTTTCAAAATCTAATTTTAATTTCAATTGTATTTCACTTATTTAAAATTGTAAGTCACTCTCTCAATCAATAAGTAAAATTGCAATTAATAACTTAAAAATTTACAAATTGTAGTTGCATATTACACTTATTGAATGAGAAAGCTACTAATAACTTTAAATAAGTGTAATTTAACTTTCTTAGATTTATAGAGAACAAAACAATGAACTGGTCCAGAAGAACTTTAATCATATTTTGTTATTATTGTAAGCTTTAAGGATCCAATATAAGTATGCCAAAAAGTTTTGAATAATTTTAATCATTTTGCTTTATATTTTTCAAGTCAAATACACGAAAATTATTTATTTGATTCAAAGAATAGGTTACTTCGGTATTATAAAATAAATATATATATATATTTATATATTTGTCGCAAATAATAATTATTTGAGTCAGAAAAATGGTATTCGTTTCAAATACAGAAATCATTTATTCATTCAAATACAGTTTATTAGATTTAGATAAAAATTATTTGTTTCATGTAAATATTTAAAACCAAAAATTGCATTATTACACCAGAGATCACTATTGGCGCAGCCGAGGTTGGGCAGTCTGTACTAAAGCAGTACCGGTATTTACAGTCAACTAGTGGTGTATCAGTACCGCCATTCCAGTACTGGAAAATCAATACTGAGCCAACATTGAGCCAGTAATAGCTGAAATAGATTTACTATGTATTTGATTATTTTTTAATGTTTAAAAACAGGAATAATTGAAGTTTGATTAGAAAGGTTATTTTTCATCGACTTATTAAAAATATTAAGGGAAAAAAATATTTCTGAAATTTTATTTTAAAAAACAATTATTATTTATAAACAAATATTTTTTTAATTTATACATTTTTCGATTTTTTTTATTTCATGCCTGTCAACAATAAAAATAGTTCACAAAAAATTCTAAAGTAAAGTTGGGTTTATTTAATAATAATCAAGTAATTAATTATTTGAATCAAATATACTTTTTTAATGCAATTCGATCGCTCCTAAATGAAAAAGTATTATTCGCGAGCAGATAGAAAACACGTTATTGAGAAAAACAAATAAAAAAAATGTTAATCATATGAAATATTCTGTGGGTTAATTTTCTTAGTTTTTATCATTTATTTTATGCCAATATTAATTGTCAAATTAAATTATTTTAATGATGTAAAGTTCATTTAGCATTAATTAAGCAATTTAGATAATTAAAAATTTCATAATTTGTTTACACTTTAAAAACAATCATTAATTAAAATTTTAACATAGCCTTCAAAAAAACTGTCGTTTTTAATGAGCATATTTTCTATTTGTTTATCTGAATAACGTAGTGTTTTCTATCTCATCTAGTAAAATAAATTTTATATTATTACAAATTGTTGGAAATAAACTAAAGTTGGCTGTGTATTGAATTGTCCGTGCGGCTTGCAGTGAAAAAAATGGTCACTTTTAAATAATACAGGTCCTACCTCCCGTGATGTTAGTTAACGTTAGATCCAAGGTCAGGAAAACTATATGTTTTAAACCTAATTATTGCGTGTAAACTTTAGTGGTGTACCTATTTTATTTAGATCTTATCCTAGCGAGTCACATTTTTTTAAAATTTTAACATTTGAAATTCTATTCAAATAAAATTTATTTTTCAATTTTTTCACAAATTTTTTTTCTGGGGCACTCTAATATATTATATAAGGTAAATGCAGTAGTAATGCTGCTGATAACTAATGCACTGACGATTACTAGTGCATTTACCTTAGTATATATAGTATATTTATATTATATATACACATATATCTTTCAGTATGATGGCGTACGTATGTCGTTTCTGCCACCATAGTACACGAGTTTTAAAACAACACCTGGATCACCATAAATATCAATCAAATTTAAGCAGTAGTTTTCACTGTGGTTACAATGGGTGCAAAAAATTTTTTCAAACTCTAGCGTCTCTTAGAATGCATCTTATTAGATTACATAACTTATTGATTAAAAATATAGATTTGCAACCTCAGTATTTGAATGTTATGAACGAATTCTCAAAGTTTATATGCAACGTTTCAATATGTAATAAAGAAGTAGATAATTACCAGCTCTTGCTTAGACATCTTAAACAACACATTTCTCATGGATTATCGTTAAAGAGCATCTTTCCTAACTGCAGGACGAAGGGAAAATATAGTACAGTAAATTAATTTACAAGCCTTATATCGAAATATCATAGAAAAAAAAATTCTAAACAGAGATAGTGATGTATTTTTTATTTATTTTATTTTATTTAAATACATATACGGGCTTACAAATAGAAAAAAACGCCCTTTCGTGCAGAAGTACTAAATAATAAGTAATAAGATAATTATTAAGCAATAATATCAGGACATCACGTTGGCAACTACGCTTTTAATGTTAAATATCGCAAATTGCGAATAAATTGATTAAGCGATACGCCAAAAAAGTAAATTTCATGACAAAATTCATTTCCTCTAATACAGATTCTATTCAAAACTGAATTGTCCATGTAGTTTTTTTTATTGAATTTTGCTTGGAATAATTTCTGATTTCTCAAACTCTTTTTAGGGACAATAAAATTTATACTTAATAAAATCAATGGACAATCTAAAATTCTATTAATAATTTTAAATAAAAATAAAATGTCCAAATAAATAATTCTCGATGAGAATTTGGGAATCATTAAAGTTCTTCTGAGGTCAGTATACTCATGACTAAATAAATCATAGTAAATGCCAGCTTGTCTTGCTGCAAAACGGAGAAACACGTTTTGGACACGCACAAGCCTAGTCAATTGGTAGTCCTGGTATGGCACCCAAATCACCAATGCAAACTCTAGTTTACATCTAGCAAGAGTAAAATATAATGATTTGAGTACACCTATGTTCCCAAAGTGA